TGTCCAGCAATCACTGTGCGAGGGGCGGGGTACACCCTGGACGGGTCGCAAGTCCATCACAGGGACACATAGAGACAAATGAGACAAACAACCATTCACTCTCTCACTCACACCTAGGGACAATTTAGAGTTACCAATCAGCCTAACATGCATGTTTTTGGACTGTGGGAGGAAACAGGAGTACCTGGAGAAAACCCACGCATGCACGGAGAGAACATGCAAACTCCACCCAGAAAGGCCCCTGGACCAGGGTTTGAACCAGGGACCTGTTCGCTGAGAGGTAGCAGCTCTACCAGTTGCGCCACCGTGCTGCCTATATATATATATATATATGTAAACTGGCTGTAAAACAAGTTACAGATAAAAAGTGACTTTTTCTGTTAAAAGTTACAAATATTCAGGATTAAAATATTTTTGTAGGTAATTTATTCACCCTGAAGATTACAGATTTTGTTTTTATTTGTTGATGGATTTGTTCAAATTTCATCTAAAGATTAAATTTGAGAATATTTTTTTGTCTAAAGTAGCTCTCATTCAACCTTACAGCCATTTTTAATGGTTCATGATGATTTCCATTAAGCACTTTTTTCCTGATGAGTGATGATGGTGAACTTTGTGAATTTAAAAACATTAGCAGAGGATTTTTTGCAGTAGCTGGTGTTTGTGGTGTGTAAAACACATTTTGTAGTCCATTGTGATATTTTTCCTCTTCTAATGACAGGGCATAAAAGTGCACAGCAATGCCTGCGATGTGGACACTCCTGCCATGGGAACGGGCAGCTATTTGCTTTGATTTGCAACAGAAAAGCTTGTGACTGTCAGAGAAGGTTCTGTTTGGTCTTCTCCTGGCCAGTTTAAGTGTTAAAGTGTCATTATTTAGCCTCTGAGGGCCGAGTAGGGAGAGCGCAAACAGGACTGTGTGACCTTCTGTCAAGAGCCTCGGCTCTCCAGAAGCTCATTAAGGGACATCCAGGAGGACAGCAGTCAATCGGCAGATCCTCCAGCTGCCTCTGGGCCTTTTTAAAACCTCTCTAAAGCCACTCACCGGACCACTGGAGGAAGGAACAGGTTCATCTTGGAGCTGGAGGGGAGACTTGAACGATGGCGCGCTGTGATCTTGTGTTGGAGACTTATTAAAACAGCAGGAAGAGACTTTGGACCCGAGCCAAAGAGGATCTCCCTCTAGAGGCTGACCGGATCTGCAGAAAAGTCGGATGCCCTGGTTCTTTTGGTTTGTCTCTTTTCACCTGGCTGAATGCGTGAAAAGTCATGGAAGGCCTCGGGCAGGACTCCATGTTCATCAACTTTGTCGGTGACATAAATGTGATGGCGTTTCCCCAAAAGCACGCAGCAGGACCAAAAGAGCAGGTGGCCACTGCTCCAGCTTTTGCGCGCAACCAGACCCGGATAAACGACTCGTCTTGGAGCAGAGAGCTGCAGGACGGCGCGCGCGCTGAGCCGCTCGGCGCACAGAGTCTGGGGGTGGGTTCACCGAGGTGCTGCAGGTCCAAGCGGAGGCGGGTCATCACCGGAGTCCAGCGGCAGGCGGCCAACGTGAGGGAGAGGAAGAGGATGTTCAGCCTGAATGAGGCGTTTGATGAGCTGAGGAGGAAAGTTCCCACGTTCGCCTACGAGAAGAGGCTGTCCCGGATCGAAACACTGCGCCTGGCCATCATCTACATCTCCTTCATGACGGACCTGCTGGAGAGCACCTGACACGCACTTCTGTTCTACACACATGGGAGAAAACTTGTAGGATTTCTCATTTTCATTTCAACTCTAAAATTCCAGGTTTTAAAAAAGCAACCTTTAGGGCTGTGATTTATTTCCTTTGCTCTGCTTCTTCTTCTTTTTTAAGTCTACAACAAAATAAAGTCCAGAACATTCTATGCAAATATGCCATTTAGTAAAAAAAAAAAAAAAATCATATCTCACGACTTCTTGCTTCCAAATAAAAAAAGTTTCAGGCTCCAAACTGTGGTCGTTGATTGATGTCAAAAGTCGCAGCTCCTCTGACAAAGTGGCTGCGACAGTAACTGCGTTTTCTAAAGATGCCAAACAGAAATGTGCTGAAAACAGGACGAACGCTGACGTCATCGCGCAGAGCAATAATGGGAATGTGTGTTTCAGCACCTTGGAGAGCTGCAGCCGCCCGACCCACCTGCAGACAGAACAGGTGAGGCAACAAACCTGCATGGAGATGGAACAAGAGGGTTGTTTGTTTTTCGTTTAGCTTGGTGGGTTTTATCACTCACTGATTTGCAAGGCTAATCCAACTCCCCCTGCGTGAAGCTGTGAGCTCCCCCCAGGTGCTGAGGTGCGAATAAGAGATAAATCCAGATTGATAAACCTCAGATTTGCTCCTGGACTGCAGAGGCAAGATGTGCGCCTGAAAAGAAGTTCCTAATAATAGTCCATGCTCCTGGATATTTCACACCAAACCCCTGCTTTGCTTTCCCTCTCCCTCATCACATCTAGTGTTTGCATTGTGCTTCAGCGGGAAACGCGCCTATAAGCGACCCCCCCCCCCCCCCCCCCGCCCCGCAGGGCGCGCGGATCCGCCCTGAGAGCTCCCCGGGATGGGACGGCTCGGCCTTTAAACCCGAGCCGCGGAGCCGAGATCCCTGCGGGGAGTCAGACACATACCTCAGCGCCGGGAAAATAAACACCTCGGTCTGCTTATACGAGCTGAGACCCCCTGCTGGGAGAACCTCCTGCGTTTCAGTAGGGCTGGTGTGTTTCAGCAGCACCACAGCTCCCATCTCAAACCAGTTAGCTACTTTAGTTCGTTTCCCTGAAGAGTTGTTTTTAGTAAAGAGGGATATGAAAGTGAAGTTCAGAGAGGACTCTCATTAGGAAAGGCCGAGAACTCGTTAATTCATGGACAGAGATCCAAAGTAACCAAATGGTGAAAAGTTTTATAAAACTTTTCTAAAACTAAATATGAGAGCTGAAGCCGGAGAAATGAGCCAAAACAACCTAATCCAAAGGAATTCCAATTATTTTGTTTACTTTGCAACAAATCCAAAAGAAAAAAAATGAAACATATTGCGCAAGACTGCACTGGAATATATATATATATATATATATATATATATATATAATTACTTTTCACTCACAAGAACACTTGATTTAATACCACCCACCATCCTCCCACTCCTAAAGAACGTGCATGTTTTCGAAAGTTTCCCCAAGTCTCCTTCTCCAAGTATTATGTTACACCCCTCCTCACCCAATCCTAGAATCCTTCCCCCAAAAAACCTCCTGCCCGCTATAAGAGCCCGGGTCCTCCCAGCCTGGCAGACACCTCTCCCCCCTCTGATGCGCACCAGAATCCAGATCCAGTGCAGGACATACCCACTATCACTTGCAGCGTTTGTTGATTCTGCGACCACTTCAGTGACTAAACCAGAGTCCAAGACCAAAACCAGGGTGTCCAGATGCGGGACGAGGATTCCTCCCCCATGGACAGCGCTGGGAACAGCGAGGAGGAGAGCGAGCGGCTGCTGCCGCGGAGAGGCGCGAGAAAGAGGCGGACGACCCGGAGGAGCGCGGGCGACGGAGGGGAGGAGGGTCGCGTGGAGAGCTCAAGCCCGGGCAAGAAGAAAGGCAGAAAGGTCTGCGACGACGGGGGCGGAAGCGCTGGAAGCGGCGGCAGCGAGGCCAGCAGCAGCCCCGCGCGCTCCTTCGACGACCTGCAGACGCAGCGCGTCATGGCCAACATCCGCGAGCGCCAACGGACACAGTCCCTCAACGAGGCGTTCACGTCCTTACGTAAGATCATCCCCACCCTTCCGTCGGACAAACTCAGCAAGATCCAGACTCTGAAGCTGGCGGCGCGGTACATCGACTTCCTGTGCCAGGTTCTGCAGAGCGACGAGCTGGACGCGCGAGGGGCCAGCTGCGGCTACGTGGCGCACGAGCGCCTGAGCTACGCCTTCTCAGTTTGGAGGATGGGGGGCGCGTGGACATTGTCTACTACGTCCCACTAGCTGCATCCAGTCGGTACCGCAGGGTAAGCTGACACGCTTTAACCGTCCATCCCACAGGGACAGAAGTGTGCCAAAATGACTCTGTGCGTAAAATACGCACAGTCTCCAAATGAAAAAAAAGCATTTGACCTTGTTCCAAATCACACACATTGGGTCCAATACTTGACTGGTACCCCTTGAGGTTGTATGTAATTTAATTTGTGCCAATAAACAGCACTAAAAGTCCAAAACTTCACAATATCAAACAACACAATTATTTTTATTCACATACTGTATGTTGCTGCAAGTAAATATCTACTTATCTTAATAAGAGTAACTGTTTTATGAACATACCTGGTGTCATGTCTTTATGTCTCTGTTCATACATGCAATAAAAATGTGACTGTGCTTCTTTCTTGATTGCTTTCACAGATTTCCCGGATTGAAGGGCTGAAGTTTCAGACAAAACCTCTTCAAATGGGCCAAAAACAGCTGAGTCTCAGGATCAGCTGCTTAGCTTCCGGCCTCAGAGGAAAGCCGCCCCTGCATGGACTGTAATGTTTGCAAGGGAGCACTTAAGGGACAGACAGGACGGATATGAAGGGAAGGAGACCACTGCGACTATGATTGTTGTAAAAACAAAACGAGCCCAGACGACCTGCTCTGTTTGGAAACATGAGAGATAAATGACAATCCACTCCACATTCCCTGTGACAGCGTTTCACAGAAGCGGAAGTATACGTTGTATTTATTTTTCCACGCAGGTTTAACGTTCTTTAGCCTTTTCTCAAATTGAAATTATTTATTTTTGTGATATACAGAGCACTGAACACATTTTGACTTTGAGCATTTTGTGGGTTGTAAATATTTGGTATTGTGCTGAATAAACATTTTTTGACATTATTTCTCATTTTCTTCTCATGTCTGGATTTTATTTTAAGCATTTTAGCAAAATATTACATTCAATGAGCTAAACAGTGTCAAATTGAAGTTTGAGAGTAGTTAATCTAGCACACAAGTTGATATAAAATCCCAGCAGCTCTTTTAAACAAATGAAATGATCTCAATCTTGGAGCTTGGAGTTTATTTTCATTGGTTGTTGAAAGGTGGATGGAGCAATGGTCCGACTGAACGTGGACTATTTGGAGCTGTGGAAAGCATGCATGATATTCCCAGATGTTCCCTGCAGGTGCCAAATAAACTAAATCAGGAGTTTTGACCAATGAATGTGGACGTGGGTCAGATGAATACGATCAGTTCTGGAGAAAAGAAGGAAATTAAACACTGTCAAAAGGATTTTAAGCATTATAAAGGCTTCAATTGTATTTAGTTGGATTTGTTTTCTGCTTAAATTCCCACTATCAGATAAGTCACAACTTCTGTTTATTGCTAATTGCAACAACAATTTCATAACCTTTACCCAAATATCAATTTTCAAAAGGATTTCAGCCTAAAATATATGAAACTCTAAAACAAGTTGTTTTGTCTCACACCAAATTTGGCGAAAAGAACATATTTCAACTAAAAGTTATTCAGCTGTTATAATAAATAATAAATAAACTCTGCAAATGTACCATGACTTTTACAAGCCTGAAGCTTGAATCATGGGACTTTTCTGAAAGAAAAACTCTTGAAAAAAAAAACTATTTTAAATTTAAGAAGTTCATGTAGGATTAGGCCACTGTGCTTGTTTGATCAGTCTCCTCAAATGGAGAGCCGTGTTTCTCCACGGACTCGTCGAGGGATGATTATTGGAGCAATATAGTGTTTTTGCATCACGAGTTGCGTGCAGAAGGTAAAGCCATCAGCTCTGACCTGAAGCCCCTGCCGACGGAAAGGAGGAATCGATTCCCACCCTTAGATTAGCGTGGCAGTGTTATCTTAAACTTGAGGCTGTTGCTCTGACACAGAGGAATGTCACCTCTGAGGCTTCAAAACACACACACCAACAGTATAGGTTATAAACACAAGGAGGGAGATTTCTCACGCCTATGAAACAGGGAAATACATTCCACACGGAGGGAGAGGGGGTCCTACAGCTCAGCTCCTGCCCCGTTTGATGTTCCAAAGAAATGGGATGACCGCTTGTTATCAGTGTGAAGGCATCTGGTGCTCCAGCTTTAAGTGTGCTCAGATTTATAGACTCTTTGATGACTGACACAAGCTCACGCACACTCTCTCCCACCCATTAATCATGCTCTATATCGCCTCATTCTTGGGCCTGGAGGCTCTAAACTGATCCAAACTGTGTGCATTTAATAAACGTGAGCTTCAAGTCCCTTAAATGTTGAAAGCAGGTCTGGGTTCGAGTCAGCTTGGTTGTTTAAACGCTGTAGTAGAAGTTTACCTGTCTCGTTTGGCTTCTCTCAACACCGTGTCTCTTTTGCATCCATGTCTCTCTGAAGTTAGCCCATTACAGGGTAACAGGTCCTGGTTTACATTAACCCTCAACACCACAGAAAGACCAGGGGGAGAGGAAGTCAGGCTGAGACAGACGGGGGGCAGAAAGAGACTTGATTTGCAAGTCTGGTTTCCATTAGAGCTAATTATCTGTGTTTCATCTCAACCCAGTGCAGTTAGTGTGTGTGTAGACGTGTTATGCACTAGTTTCTTTTTACTTGTGATCTGTGACTTGGACCCAGTAAAAGCTGCAGCTAACATAAAGGGAATCAAACCTGAAGCCCGTTTCATGAGCTAAGATGAAACTCTGCTTTGCACATCACTCAACCCGACTGTTTAGGTCGTTGCAACAAACTGCTGAGCTGGTTTTAACAGATCTCAGATCTAGTTTATTTCTGCTGCAGAGCAAAATCTGAGCTCGTCTTTAATCCTCCTTTCAGAAAATGTTTGCCTTTCCTTTATATCTGCATCTTTTCATTCATTCAACCTTTATTCAGACAGATTAATCCCATTGAGCCTCGAGGACTCATTTACAAGAGAGACCTGATTTCTTAACTATCTATTATCTGTTATTATTATTATCTATTATCTATTTGAATATAAAATCTTCTCATGTTTAGCTTTGTCACTAGCATGAGAAAAGTCATCATGAAGTCCAGTTCATTGTTAGGGTGCTATGCTGTAAAAGTCAGAGTATAAATAATCTTTTAATACAACTTCAGTCAAACACCGGTTAGTATTTTTTTAATTGAATGCTTCATCAATACGATGTACTGATTATGCTAGAAATCGTTTTCTTTGTTGTTAAATTGTCTAACTTCATTTTAATGTGATGTTCTGTTTGTGGAAATGATACATAATGATGTGGGAAATAGTTTTTTTTTTTTTGTCAGAAATGTTATGTTTAATTGTGTCCTGGGAATTCTGGACTTATGAGGCATTTTTTGGACAAAATCTGGACATAGGTGGGGTAAAAATATGAGGTCATTTTAAAGTCAGAGAGTTCAACAAGGAATGCTTACACCTTGCATCACAAATACAAGATCCAGCTCATACCAAACAATACATATTTAATGAATACTGAAACCCTTCACAGCTACAGTAGCGTATTTAAAATCATCAATAAATCTGCATCTCGGGGCAGAGAATGCCCACAAAGACACAAATGCATTCATTCAACCTTAATTTATACAGGTTTGTCCCATTGAGCCTCAAGGACTCATTTACAAGAAAGACCTGATTTTAACAGCGTGATGACAACAGTAGACAATCATAAAAGAAGGCATATAAATTGAAAAAATAAAAATAAATGAAATAAAATGGTATAAAAATTAAACATAAACAGCTAGGTTGTAAAGCAATGTAAAAAACTAAAAACAGGAACATGTCTGCATTGGTCCCTGCCAGGAGTCCAACAGATTCTTAAAGACACTTAGAGAGGTCAAGGTCGAGAGCTTCAAATCTTTTTGTAAGATATTCCAGGAAACAGGAGCGGAGTAGGAGAAGGCCCTTTTGCCTAGTTCAGTCCTCACTGAGGGAACACTGCATGTAATAATGTCCTGAGAGCGCACGCTGTAGCTGCACTCACGCAGAGACATGTAGGAGGAGATGTATGAAGGCAGCAGACCAAGAAGTGATTTAAAGATGAAAATGTACCAGTGGGAGAGTCTCCATGAAGTTAATGATGACCAGTTAACCAGTGAATACAGGGTGCAGTGGTGGGTACGATAATCACAGCCAGTAATGAATCTTAGTGCACCATGATAGACAGCATCCAACATCTGCAGGGTTCTTGTAGGAGCGTTCATGTAAATAATGTCACCATAATCAATGGAGGGAAGGAAAGTCACAGATACAAGGTGTTTCCTAACATTCAGGGTTAGACAGGATCTGTTTCTGAAAAAGAAACCCAGTTTAACTTTCAGTTTCTTTACCAAGTTTTACAAGTGGAGCTTAAAAGAGAGATGTGAGTCGATCAAGATACCCAAATATTTATACGAATCAACAAACTCAATCGGGACATCATTTGAGGATAAATCAGAGGAAGAACTGCTGGGATCGACTTCCTGTTTGAAAACAATATCACTTTGGTTTTATCGGCATTTAGAACAAGTATGAAACAGAACAAATCTGACTGGATGATGTTGAAAGCAGATTACAAAAGCTGGAGAGTCTTAGCAACTGTTTTAGCTCGACAATAAACAACCGTGTCATCAACAAAGAAATGTATGGATGCATCAGGGATGCTCTGACCTACATTACCTATGTAGATTGTGAAGAGGGTGGGTTCTAAGACTGAGCTTTGTGGTACACCATTGTTAACCTTTAAAGTACCATTATGTTGAACACATTGCCTCTGATCTGAAAGATAGTTAGAGAACCAACCAATGGCGTGATCTGAGAAACCAATTACTGAGAGCTTATGACACAAGATGTTATGATCCACAGCATGACAGACTTTACACAAATAGGTTCAAGCCAACATCAGGACCATTCATGCCTTCAATGAGGTTAAAGAAGGCTTAAAAACAGAATTTTACTGAAATCTGTGAAAGTAAGGCAACAACTGTACATGTCCATCAGGTGTTAGTGGACTGTGCACACGAACAGTCCACTAACACCTGA